ATAATAATAATAATAATAATAATAATAATGATAATAATAATAATAATAATAATAATGATAATAATAAAATTTACATGGTTTTTAATAAACTTATTAATGAAATTCTATAATATAGATTAGTTACTATTATTATAATCTCCTACGTTTTACTCTAAATAAATGAATGAATACTTACTTTTACGTATTTCAAAATATCCCTTTTACTGGCGGTTAGTTGTGTTAATTGATTAAGTACATACGTCTTCAAATGCAAAAAAAAAAAGTTAAAAAAAAATAAATAAATAAATGAAATAAAAAACCTCTGGAGCCCCTTTTACGGAATGTGAATTGGTTAATGGCTCAATGGGAACAGTTCAAGACATTCTGTTTGGAGATCAGGGACCACCTTGTCTTCCTATAGCAGTTTTTATCACCTTTGATAATTATAAGGGTCCTACTATTACTGCTTTAGATGGTACAAAAGTTGTTCCAATTACACCAATTCGACGTACCTGGGAAAGTAAAACTGGTGCATCCTGTTCACACTTACAGATCCCTATCTATCTTGTGTGGGCTATTACCATACATAAAAGTCAAAGACTTATTTTACAAAAAGCTATAATAGACTTTGGGAAAAAGAATTTACTGCTGATCTTTCGTTTGTAGTAGTGTCTCAGATTCGCACTTTTAAAGATATTCTATTTCAACTCTTCAATTTTGAAAGACTTCAACCTATCAAGAATTGTAAAAGAATGCAAGATAAAAAGGTTGAGGAAGAACGATTAATTTTCATGTAATTGTAGTATAATAAATAAACTAAATAATAAAATAAAAAAAAATAAATAAAGTCGATCATTAGCGATTAATAAAAAATATATATATATTCTTTTATAATCACGTGATAGATGGACAGAAATCCTCACGTGATATTGTTAATTATAGTTTACAAAGAATATATATGTCCTACGCTATGCTCCGGACAAAAATAGTCAAAAACAATAAAATACAATTTTTTTTATGGACCAATAGAATGGTAGGTTTAAACTAGTAGTAGGATTTTCTCTATCCTGTGTAAGTTTCATCTGGCATGAGCCCATCTACTTGATACAAGCTAGCCAACCAGAATAGTCAGGTTGGTCTTTGAAAAACCAGTACTACTGGAAATTATAATTACTAGGTAGCATTAATTTACATTCTAGAATAGCAATAGTTTAGTCTGTAAAGATGTTTGATATAATGACAGTACTATTATTAGTAAATAAAGTCTTGTATTTAATGTCCTTAGCCAACTTAAAAAAAATAAAAAAAAATAAAATATAATACAATTTTTTATTGATATATAATAGATATTTAAAATATATTTAAAAGATTTATACAAGTTAGTATTTATATACTTTGTATATATTATCTCAAGCATAATATCTTTTTTTAATATTTAATTATTTAATTCAAAAAATATTTATCTTATAATATCAGAATCAGACCAATAGGAAGTAGAAATTTTAATATTAATTTTAAACTATTTAAACTATTTCAGTTTGGATAATTGAAAAAAAAACCTTAATTAAAAAGATTAATTCAAATATTTTTTTTATCTTATTATTTAGATCTCAAATTACAAATTTGTTTTAATTTTAAATTTATATAAATCATAATACTTCTTATCATTTGTGGCTATTATAACTATTTAAGCTTTGTCTTTGATTAAAATAATCTAGACTAGGACTTTAATCATGATTAAAAGAATATTAATTAAAATTAATTAAAATAAAATACAATTCAATTTGTATATTCAAATATATGGATGGAATTTCTTGCTTAATTATTATTGTAATACCAATTGAACAATCACCATGCCATTATATCTTATTAAAAAATCACAATCTCAATATCTATTGAATTAGTGTGAAAGTTGGCATTTTATAAAAACAGTACATTACAGATTATACTATCAGATATTATTTTTAGATTGGTTCAACTGCTTTTACCTGGTATCTTGTGATTTGACCTGTGGAGCACTAACCACTGTGCTATAGATCTACAGGTCTAAAGTACTAATATATTTATTTTAATTAATGTTAACAAAAAAATTTTTTTTATAATATAATTTTTTACAAATGAAAAAACCATCAATTTTTATTGTCAGTACTGTATATCATAATTGAATACTGGAAATACTTTTATTTTTCTTCAATAGATTAATATTTACACACTTATAAAATAAATGACGAAATATTTATAATCATAAATAATTCAGTTACAACCATATAAAATTATTATTATTATTATTTTGACATCACACATTACTTGCCTTATATACGATTATCAGAAAAATAATTTGGGTACAGTAATCTTTTAGATTGTATCTGTTTTTATTTTTATCGGTCAAATTAATTAATATAATGGTCTAAGCAAATTTAACCATGGCTGCAGCCACCAAAAATAAGTAGAACAATGGGTTAAATCCGGGGATACTTGCTATAGTAGCAGTAGACGCACTACCAGATCTTGTGGTTTGAGATTTTGTTTTGGTTCTAATCAACAAAAAAAATATTAGCTTTTATTTGCTGCACAGAATAACACTTAAAATCTACTCACGGAACATTTGTCGTTTGAACTGTTATTTGAACAGTTAATGAGGCAGAATTAGATGTTATCGACAACGCTCTACTACTGGAAACTGTTCTGGTGGCTGAAGTTGATAGAACAGGTGTGGTTCCTCCGGGGACGTAAACGGAAAATTCTCCAGAATATTGATTACCAGAGCCGTCATTAAGAGTAAAGTAATAGATGCCAGGGGGAACATTCACGATCCAACTATATTCTCTAGGAGTCAGATCCAAATTATCGTTTATCAAAGTCATTCTAGAAGTTGTATTGCTGACGATGTTCAGTATCCCTAGTCGGGTTGGTACAGTTGTGTAATTCCATTGAATCATAATTGTAGCACCTACAGCAACCCCCCCAACAGGCGTATAAATTACGGTGATCTCTAATTAAAATAATAACTTGTAAATTAATTTTCTTTAAAATATTTCATGGCTGTGGAGGCTTTAACAACCCAGCCAGCAAAGCAAATTCGAATTTCGTCATTCAACGGACGAGACTCTTTGTAAAGCATTATACTGTACGTCAATAGCGCTTCCTCGGAAAGTAAAAAATAATCTAACTTACGGGCTGAGATCAAAGTAGTGTAAACAAAAAGGAGAAATGATAATATAATGAACTGTGTCATTTTTCCTTTTTCGTACATTTTGTTCATTAAATAAATATATATGTATGTAAGAGAACTCGGAGAGATTCAATTTCGAGGACGTAACTACAGTTTTAAAGGATTTTTGGAGCTTCCACACGCATTTTACACATTCATCTCAGGAGGGTATTTATAATTGAACATCTGGTTGAGAGTAACTGGCAAAAAACTGGAACAGAAATTTTCTAAGTTTTCACGTGAATTACTATATGAAAATTATTCTGACGCAAGCTATAATGCTGGGATATTGGCATATAATATACAGTATTTGGTAATTTAATCACAAATACGTATGTACAATGTTGCAAAAAAAATGACTATTTTTAACTTAACAAAAATTATTTTAAAAAAAAAAAATAAATTTAAATATATTAAATTGACATCTATAAAATAATTTTATTTAGAACTACTTTATTTTAATTAATTTATAATTTAATTTGATATTTTGATTTTTAATAAAAGTTTTATATTATACTTTTTAGTTTCTATTTAATTTCTGGTTAAAAAAAAGTAATATATATAGGTTTTAGTTTTTAAATAAAAGATTTTAAAAAGTAAAATAAAAGAACAAGATAATAAATTAAATAAAAAATTTTTTTTAAAAAATAAATATTAATATAATAATTTTTAATTATAAATTTTAATAAATCTATATCTTTTAAAATATAAATTAAAAAAAATTTTTTTTTTGGGGGGGGTTTTCCCTAGCAGGTAAACATCATTTCTTTATTCGTTATCATATACTGATTA